TGAGAATGGGAGATATACATATTGGGCTGTGGTGAGAATTGTAGTTTAGAGCTGATTCTAAAGAATTTATTTGTGGCGATATTTATAAATAATCGCTTATGTATATATTAAGATATATTCTTTCGTGCCGGCACGATTTATCGGTAAGACATATCCGAACCAGTGATCGATCGGGAAAAATAAAATTCAAAAGTGTTTCGATCATTTTTTACGACAGCACATGACTTTTTAATTACGTATATTGCGCCAAATGATGTGACGATAAAAAAAAGATTTTATTAATCTGATCGTTATATATCGTGCACTCTACTTTCTACTCTTCCAAAATGAATGCAGTCATAGAAAAAGCAAAGAAAATAGGACATAAAGTTAATAAAACAATCCATAGCTATCCCAAGTTACCAAAATTTCCTTTAGGAGAAGAAAGGCGAGTGTGCCCCACGTAGGTTTCTTTAAGATCTGCTCAATATTGTTGACTCACATGGTCTGCAGTTTGCCATTTCAGATTGGAAAGAACGTTTCAGTGAAAGACTATAATACTTTTCTTGATCACAACGAATCGACCGGGTACAAATTTTATTGGGAAAACAAAAACGTTTACATTATTGATATAGCCAACCCAGAACACGAAGCTGTTGTTACTTTACTTCAAGATATCTTCAAAGTCCCTAATGGCGGTATTATCTTTGATCCCCCGATAGATGTTACAGGCCAACCATGTAAGAGAATTCCCTCTAGTTCTGCTTGATCTTTGAATCATGATAACATTTCACATTTTTTCCCGTAGTTCATTGGAATCCATCTGATAACGCAACAAAAATAGCGTCAGACATTACAATTTACCCAGATGTGGCACATGTTCCAAATCCTACTATCCAACATCCTGGGCCTCCCCCTAGTGATGTAAAGGTACATATATTGTCATATTTATTTTGAGCTAATTTCTTAATATTAGTATGTTCACATAGGGAAACCCCCATGGACGAATATTCTGTGAGATAGCCTTAATTCAAAACACCACTTTATGGAACACAAAATGTGAAAATTGGATGCTTCAACAATACGTGCGGTGTGTATTCGGTATAAAACTACATGACAAAAGGAAAGAATCAAATCATCGGTCTATGACGGTATGTCATGCTACCTGCTTCATTATTCTAGTTTTGTTTTTACGGGTTTCTTTTTAATATTAGGCCAAATTATGGACACGTCAAATACCAGCACCACCAGGGAGTACGTCATCAACAAATCCAGCCCTAACAGGAATATCTGTACAAGAGGTAAGATTGATCCACTGGTATTTTTGTGATCAAACATCTCAGGGGCTTAGAATATAACTTATGCAACATCATAGTGGGATTTCGGAACTTTGCAATTTAATAGTAATCAACCTACCGGTTGTACTACTGCAAATAATCCTGCCTACCAAGTTAATATCCCTGTATCAGATGTTTTCTGGGACCCACCAATCGTTGCGGGAGTTCCAAATGTTACTGGATACACTATCGCAGTCCCTCCTACAGTCACCGCCAATAATTTTGTCATCGATTTATATAGAATCCAACAAGTTGTTTTAAAAAAACAGCGAAGTGTAATTTGTTAGTAATGTAATAATATAAACTTCATGTGGCTTTTAATAACGAAAAGATCTAGCATGTTATATTTAGTATGCCTAAAAAAATTATTTGCATATATTCATAAATACTATAATAAAAATTCGTTAGTAAAAGAAGGAATAATGTATACAGGCCATACTAATAATACCTGATAATTGCAAGAAAAATATGAATAAAAAGATCAATGGATGAAACTGTCGATTTTGGCTTTAATTCACCGACTCATTTGGAAATCAGGTTTTATTTTTCCGATGCATGGTTACCATACCGCATACATGCATACACGTTAAAAAATTCAAAGGGGCATGATTTCCAAGGTAACTACGGTTTGCGATAATATTCCAGAAATTTACCCTACTACTGCCAGGAATATTAGTATTTTTGTTTATCAATAAACGTAGTTGATCGTCAGTCCACATCACAAAAAATTATTCACTGCGATAATGCTACTCATCTGAGATACGCTTATTTCTTGTACAATTGTTTATGAAAAAAGTTTATCGTGACTACATCGCACCTTCATCGTACCTTCATCGCATCTATATTATAAGAATGTAAAAGGAAAATTAGACATAATATGTATCTCGGATTTGTTTATCTCGGACCGGGCGATCTTAAATGAAAATAATGATTATTAACCCGATTTAGCATTATGACGACGAGACTAGAATGGAAAATGAAATTCATGATCGATGAAAAAACAATCAATCCGTATATCTGAGAAATTGAGTTGTACGTCAATCACTTTTATTTATTTAGTATAGCAGAACTAGTGTCTTAATATGTACTAATTAAATGGTGAGAATTTTTATACGTCTTCTCCCCGGTACTTAAATCGTGATAATAACCTTCATCATCGTCACCAGAAAAACCAGAGAACCCATCATCATCAGAAAAACCACCATAATCGTTATCGTCATCTTCGTTGTTATTGGAGGAATCCTCAGCCCCGTCATCATAGATAGATTCTTCTTCATCGGGCGCACTTACCTGTATCTCGGCTTCTGATGAATCGAAAACATGAGATTCGATAGTTATATCTACCTCTGTCTCAGGTAAAGATTTAACGTCTTCACTTATCGCATCTTCTGAATTAGAGGTATGCAATGACTGGGTAGAGGAAGTAGTGGTTGGAATACTTGCCTCAGTTTCTGGTAAATTTTTTGGATCAGTTGGAATATTTGTCTCTGTATTAGGTTGATCGTGAAGAATCTTCACGGTTTTCGAAGTTACGTGATCTATAATGTTTTGGATTTGTTGATAACTAAGGCTTGAAATGGCGTCTGCGCTATAAGAGATCAATTTGATTTTTTTTCTATTCCTAATGTATTAAATAACTTATATAATTTTCTAGCTCTAAGAATTTTTTGACGCAAGTTCACATCAGTAATATCAGGTAGAAGTTGTTTGACTTCCCGATATACCATTGATGTTGCTGGTTTTCTCTTAACTCCAGTAATAACAACCTCATCAATTCTTTTGACACATTTTTCTATAAAATAATACCAACATAAAATTGCTTTTTGACCAGATTTTATTGCCCTTTCATACATGTAAATTATATTTTGCACCGTATCGGGAGCAAATGGTTGATTTTCAGAATTATCGTTTTCATTATTTTTGATTGGCATAGATGATAATAGCTGCTGTTTCAACTCCTGCTCTATAATCAGATTTTTATCCAACTTGGTAATAACTTCGCCATGTTCGGATTCAACGAGGTCTCTAGTGTTAAGATTATCAGAATTATTATGTATGAATGACTCCGAATTCTGATCATAATCTGATGGATATGTTTTTCGGTCACATAATTCTGATCGTGAAGTATCTTCACGGTTTTAAAGATCACCCGATAACTTGGATGTAATACTTGAAGATAAGTCTTGGGTTTGAAGCTTATTTTCCCTATTTCTCTCTCTTATCATATTACTAACTAACCTTTTCCTTTTCTTTTAGGTTTAGAAATTCATCGATCTGAAGATTTATTTTCTATACAAATTGGTGATGTGGAGCATTGACGCAAACCAGCCTCCAGCTGAGTCTTTGTCTCCTGACATACGTCAGAATTTGAAGTGTCATCAGTTATATCAGATGCGAGAGTGTCTTCACATCGTAAGTTTATCTGTTCACGATTATGATTTGTTCAGGGAGTACAGAAGATCGGTTATCCTTTACTTGGCATATATCAAAATCAGATGTGTTATCAGTACATCCATTACCACTGTTTTGCAATCTCTGCTCCTTTATTAGTGAGACATCATGTTTCAGTTTAGCGATAGGGTCAATTTTTTTTCTATCTCTCTACTCTAGATTCAAGAATCTGTCTTCAACCTCTTCATGGTCTTGTTTTAATTTTGCATTCTCAGCTTCGACTTGATATTCTTAGCTTCAAGTTCAGAATACTTCTTTTTAAGTTCGCTAATCTCAACTGGAAGCTCGGTATTGATTCTCTTAGTGAAACAATTATACATTGTGTGTTTGCCATTGTTTTATATAAGATGTAGACATATTCAATTCTTTGTCGTAGAGATATAAATTCACGTGACCAAATTTCAGCGAACAAATGTTCATCGAAAAATGCCAGAAAAAATAAATAAATAAATAAATTCAGAAAAAATCCCAAAAAATACCAATGCAGAGTAAACACGATTCTTCGACATTAAATAAAATTATTTATAATCCACGATGAATGATTAGGAATAGTCCTGCCAGTCTCTGATATAATCATTGATTGCGGAAATTAAATCTGTTCTATCTAACGATGGACCTCTAAAGATTAGAATAGGTGGATCAGACCATTTTTAATCTGAATAATCGGGATATTCGATTTTAATTTTTGGATCAAGTTTTTTCATCACTTCTTCACTAATCCCTTTACATCCCTTCAAACTAAGATATTTCAGATTAGTACAATTGCTGGCTATTTCCTCGACAGTTTTATTACCAATCGAACAGTTGCCAAGCTCAATATGTCTATTTTTTGTGCATGAGCGAGCAATTTCAGTGATACATCGATTAATAAGACATATACATGAATTAAGACTCAGATGCTGTAGTTTCGGAGAATACCTCGCAATTTCTATAATTGGTATGTTAGAGAAACCCTTACTTTTATCAAGAATGAGAGTATGTATATCTGGACATGAGTGTAGAATCGCACTAATCAATGCAACTGAGATTTTAAAACCTTCCAATCTGAGATATACCATCTTTGAACAATAGAGTGGCTTTATGGTCCTACGCATAACTCTTTCAAAGTTTATCAATCGCCGAGTAAGAACCCGAGACATATTTAATGCACGCCGACTCTGATAATCTTCGTTGAAAATCTCAATGCGACGCCATAGAATAGGACTATCGCAGTGATACCAAAGCCGGTTAACAAACAAAGTGGGATAGAGGGAGATTAAATTTTTGTTTAAAGCCAATTATAAATTTCTAATATTATTATTTATATATAAAATAAAGATTATGATATCCTTATACTATTCGATACACTATATATACAGTATTTTATTGAAAAGTATAATTCATATCAAAAGAAATAATTTTGAATGAAATAATTTATTATTTAAAGTTTTATTATTTACAATATTCTTTGATCTTAATATAAATTTGTTGTAAATTGGTAATAATTTGAATATTATTATCTTCTTATAACAATTTGATTTAAGACAATTAAAGGGATAATTAATATGATCTTCACCTTTAGTTGATTCCAAGTACCATTTACAGTAAATACCTCCTTTTATTTTTTTAACAGATTCAATTCCATATAGATAATATTCTCCAAGATTGTTGTCCACAGGCATTTCCACGCTTAGCTAATTAAAGGTATCATTTGAATGCTTTCTTTTCTTCTTTTCCATTGTACTTTATATAAATATTCAGTATTAGATTGTTCATTCGTATTTTCACTAACTGATTCAAGGATCCATTCGGATGCTTTCTTTTTATCTAAATACATTCTAGTAACATCATACAAATTTATTTGTCCCATGCGATCTCCGCCTTCAGCAAACTTAAGGTATCATTCGAATGCTTTCTTTTCATCCTTTGTGGCTCAAATTCCATTTTCGTACACAATTCAAAGTTATACGTACTGTCTATCCGTATTTCATCCTTCAACTAATTTAAGGTACCATTCAAATGCTTTATTTTCATCTTTAGTAGTTCCAAAATCAATTTCATTCAAGGTTATTTTGTACATTTTCATCTCCGTCTCGGCTTATTTAAGGTACCATTTGAAAGCCTTCTTTTCATCTTTCGTAACCCCACTTCCATTTTGATAACAACATTCAAGGTTATTTTACCCATTTGCATTTCTACCATTCCCATAGGGTTATGTTATCCATCTACATTTCCGACTTCAGCAGACTTAAGATACCATTCGAATGTCTTCTTTTTATCTTTAATCGTAACATCATTTCCGCCTTCAGCCGATTTAAGGTATAATTCGAATGCCTTATTTCCATTTTTTATATTTCCAATTCCATTTTGATAACACCCCAAACTTATTTCGGCTGATTTTACGGTACCATTGAGTGCTTTCTTTTTTATCTTTTGTGATTTCAATTCCATCCTCGTAGCACAATCCAAGGTCATATTGTCTTTACCCATTTATCCCTCTGCTAACTCAGGAACCATTCTAATCCTTTCGTTCCATCTTTGAACGTCCAATTCCATTTTCCTAACACCATCCGAGGTTATATTGTCCATGCATATTTCAGCCGATTTAAGGTACTATTTAAATGCCTTCTTTTCATCCCATGTGGTTCTAATTCTATCTTTATAACACCACCCGAGGTTATAATGTCCACGCACATTCCCTCCCTCAGCAGACTTAAGGACCATTCAATTGCTTTCTTTTTATCTTTCTTAATTCCAATACCATTCTAACTACAATAACCAAGCTTATATTGTCCATTTGCATTTCCACCTTCGTTTAACTCAAGGTTCCATTCGAATATTTTCTTTTTATCTTTGATTATCCCAAATTCATTCTCATAATACCATTCAAGGTTTTTTGCAGTTCTCTATTCTACCTTCATCTAACTTAAGGTACCACTCGAATGATTTTTTGTAGTTCCATTTTCATTTTGGCACACAATCTAAGGTTATTTTGCTCATTCACAATTTTGCCTTTAGCAGATTCAAAGTACCACTCAAATGCCTTCTTTTTATCTTTCGTAATTCCAATTCCATTTTGGTAACACCTTCCGAGGTTATATTGTCCGCGCACATTTCTACCCTCGGCAGATTTAAGGTACCATTCGAATGCTTGCTTTCCATCTTTTTTAGTTCCAACTCCATTCTCATAACACCACCCCAAGTTATACTGCCCATTTGTATTTCCACCTTCAGCCGACTTGAGGTACCACTCGAATGCTTTCTCGTTATCTTTCGTAGCTCCAATTCCATTCTCATAACACAACCCAAGATTATTTTGCCCATACGCATTACCGCCTCTAGCTGATTTAAGGTACCACTTGAATGCTTTCTTCTTATCTTTCTTGGTTCCAATCCCATTTTGGTAACACCTTCCAAGGTTATTCTGTCCCAGATAGTTGTCACCTTTGGCCGATTTCTGATACCAGTGAAATGCTAGAATATTTCCACCTGCTTTTTCATAACATGACCCAAGTTGATTCTGTCCTGTCGTATTCCCACCTTTAGCTGATTTTAGGTACCAATAAAATGCTCTCTCTTCATCTCGAGTAATCTCAACTCCATTTTCATAGAAAACTCCAAGAATTAAGGAATAATTCGAATTGTGGTTGGAATCGGTTGGTAAATTAAGAATTTGTTGAATCCCAAGAATCGTTGTGGTTTTTGGTTTTTTTTGAAAATTAATTAATAGCTTAAATAATTGTACAAAAGTTGTTTGGTTATTTTCAATAAACGTATCAATATGTGATATTAATTGTGTGACGTGATTTCCTCTATTTAATTCGCTTATAATAAGTTGATATAAATCGTTTAATAATATTTCTGAATTCCGATTATCTATTTCCCTAATGAAATCACTATTTATTATAAGAGAATGGGCATCTTTACTTTCGTCAGGTTTAACTGACTGTAACATTTTTGAAGGTTCCAATGTTCCATATACGAAAGATGTATCTGATGTGATTGTCTTATCCAATGAGTTAAGCGATTCGTTAACTTGCATAATTTCTGGCCTCTTGTCTGGGTTTTCATCCCAACAGCCTAAATAAATTCAAATCATTAATTACTTAAATGACATTGTATTCAAGAAAGTATTTTTAGACAACCTTTATAAATCTTGACATATTCGGAAGGAGTTCCTTTTATTACAGTTTCTCTACGACCCGATAAAATCTGAAAGGCTAGTTCCAATCCATAATTCTCTGAGTAGAATGGAGGGCGTCCGCTTGTGATTTCCCAAAGTAAAACGCCCAAACTATATATATCTGATTTCTTTGTTTTTTTAGGATAACCATCACCAGTGTTTTGAAAACATCGTGGGTCAATATATGGTATTATACCGATAGGAAGATTATTAGTTCTAGAGTTTGATGGGTTTCTTAGTTGCTCGGATAACCCAAAATCGGAAAGCTTTGCATTTCCTTGACAGGTAAGAATATTTCTCGGATGCTAAACCAATTTTATAATTATAATGAGATATTATTTTAAGATGTCATAAAAATAAATTTAAGGAAATTACCAAATCTTTATGAATAATGTTTCGTTTATGCAAATACACGATTGCACTAGTGATTTGTTTCGCTATACGTAATTTATCATCCCAATTTAATTTTTTAAAGTTTTCATCAAGATATTCTCGCAAGGTTCCATCGGCACACTCAATTATCATAAGATAATTAGATTTTTGTGGATCTGTTTCAAGTTGTCTTGTTAGAATTTACCTATATAAAACATGCTATTGCAAATATACCTTTCTTGGAGACACCGTAAAATCTCAAAATATTATCATCAAAGTCGATGTCTTTGTGCAATTTAAGCTGCATCAATTATAAAAAAGTTTAAATATGTATTTGGTGTATAATTATAACATGTTAACACATACTGTAGATACAGTACCTCGTTAAGAAATGCTTTTGCGGTACTTTCATCATAAATTTTAACTTTTTTAATCGCTACTGTTTTCATGATACTCCTTGAAAATGCTTTATACACTGTCCCAAAGCTGCCTTTTCCTATGTAAGTAACATCTTCAAAGTCTTCATATTTGAAATTCCGTAAAGCCAATTGACTTATTGAATTTTCGAGTCCTTCTATCGCTAACATTCTTTATAGCCATAAATATCAAAATTAATTTCATGATACGTAGCATTAATATGAGGAAGTGAAGACTTTTTTTTTTTTTAATACCTTCAATCTCTACACCGAAAGATACTATGGCGGATGACATTATATAATAAGAAAACGTTTAAAATGCATTTTCATAATACGTATTACGTATGAGTACTAAAATTAGCCAGGACTTGTTATATATACTGTGCTGAGTACCGTAAATATGGTTCCTTTTAGATACCAAAATAATTCTTATTTGACTTACCGAAATCAGATTTTATCCGAAGACTAGCCAATTTTCGTTACTTGCTTTTTACTTATCATCAGCTGGCCCAATTCTAGCGCCTTTTGCTATTTTTGCCTGCTGTGATGCCAGATAAATACAGTATCATTGCATCTAATCAATAAAAATTTTTATTGCTCGGTTTGCGCACAATGTCGTGGGATGCCTACTTCGATGTAAAATCCACCTAAAGAATACATTTAAGGGATTTTTATAAACATCATCAGAAGCAAGATATTTCTGGTTTTCCTTTCAGAAAGAAGCCTACTCGCTACAGGTTAAGAACGTGCTGGGCAACTGAAATAATGTTTTGAGGTAAGATTTAAAAGAATGCAGTATGGAATACTACTAGTAATCCGAGAAAGGGTAAATCTCATGCAACTACGGTGGGTATCGAACGTGTTGCCCACTTTATGATCGAAAATGTCCATTATGGTCTTCCTATTAATTGTGATCTAGAATACGTATCAATATCAAAACTTTATTTTATTTTATTTTTTTTTTTATTAGAAACATCGAGTTCGCAACCAAGAAGTCGATATATTCCGAAACGAAATTGAGTCGATGTGTAATAATAACAAAGAGCAACGTCTAGAGTCAGAAAGAACTTTGCGAACAGGAATAGACTTTTGGCTGAATGACTCTGAGCTTTTATTGAATAATATATTTATTTGTCAAATGTCAACATAAGTAGTAAGACGCGATGTATTATAGCTGAAGAAACAGTAAAATCTTATATAGCAATAGCAAAAAAATGCTTGTTCAGTTATGGATTAAAGAATAATTACGTTAAAACTTATTTATAAGAAACAAGAACCGAGATCAAAACGATCATGCAAAAAAACGAACTGTAATGGTATTGATAAGGGTGTCATCGTTCCATTAGTAAACTTCAGATGCATTAAATTTAGAATCTACTACTTTGCATGAAATTACTCCGTGCCCTCCTGGGCGCGACCCCTTTTTTTCGCGTAATTTGAGTGGGTGTGGAAAAAAAAATGCAATTCTCGAGTTTTAACTATCACGGGAAAATCTGGTATCGATATATGTGAACGGCTAATAAGATAATTAACACCAGTTATCTTTCTATTTTAAAAAATTTGGATCTTTTTTAGGTAATCCACCTTTGTTTATTATATCGTTCAGATAATTCACATAGAGATGGATATCGAGTATAAAAGAAATATTAGGTATAATCAAAATATCACAGAAATACAATAACTGCATGTATAAAAAATTATTCTCCTTTCG